GGGAGGTGCTTTACATGGATTTATTTTTATTTGAATGCTTGCAACCAGCCAATGAGACAGGCACTGAGATTATCTCCCTTTGGCAGACTAAGGTCTCCATTTTGCCCCAGGCCATATGGCAAGTGGAGATCCAAGGATTTGAACCAGGCAGTCTGGCTCTAATGTCTGTATGCTATGGAATGTTTCTCAGTGTTTACAACCAGCCTGGACTTGTGCCCATTTCTGGGAGTGTAGCTACTACCACCATGGTCAATTACAAGCTACTAAGACCTATCAACAAGTTCACAAAATTGTTGAAAATGTGACAGTCCTTTTTCATGAGGCAGTGCAAGCCAGACAATTAGCAAAACTACAGGCACAGAGCTGCTAACATGTGAAGTGCATGTTACTTCCCATCTCCCTACTGAGTTTTGTCTTCATGGAATTTTTTGGAGGCCGCTGTAGCAGACCGCCTAGGACATTCAAATCTTGGTTTTACCAGTGAGCAGCTGCATGATCTCAAGACAAGTTGCTGAACGTCTCTGAGCCTCAGTCTGCACCACTCTGAAATTAGTTCTTATGAGGCTTCATGAGCTCATGACATGAAGCACAGGCCCTAGTGCAGAGTAGGTGAGCCAACAGTTTGGGCTGCTTTTATTGTTAAGATGATTGTGTTTTCCAAACCAAGAACAGCAGGAGCACGTTGTCCATTTGTGTTTTTGTTTTTGTTTTTGTTTTTTCCCAATGTCTGCCTGGACAGCATGCCTGCTTGATGCTGGGCTCCGGCTGGTCCCCTGGCGTTAGGTCATATTAACCTTCTGAACCGTTGTAGCGATGGTGTGGCAATAGCCTAGCTGGTTGCTAGGACAGCCACCGGCCTGGATTTTGGTGGGTGTGTGTATTTCTAATCACAAAATTGCAAATGGTCTGAAGGGTCCTAGAATAGTGGATGGAGTCTCTTCCCATGTGGGGCCTGAGTCGTGCCTGTGCTGTTGGAAAAAAAAAAAATGTCATCGCATAGAGAGTAATAATTAGCAAGCCATCTGCATACTTTTTTCTATATAAAAGCTTTGACAGTGCCTTTCAGTTGTATGTATGGTGCAAGAGGAAAACTGGCAGTCATCTGGATTTATGTTAATTCCCTAAATTATTTATCTGTTTCCAAAACCATTTCCCATCCTTATCTACCCTTTGATACTACCTATGGCATTCTGAAAGTGGCATTTGTGGTAAGCAAGGAGCTTCAGGGGAAAAATTGACGTGTAGCCACAGCTTTCTGGTTTCATGGTGAAATCGATGCAAGCCATTCTCCAGCCCTTTAATTAACTGCTCGCTTGCTAATGAGGGCTTTTTTCTTAAAGGTTCCTATTTTTTAAATCAGTGAAGTCGCCAGGAAATTACAATCAATATTTTAACAATTTCCCATTTGTTTCCATTGTGAATCTTAAAAGTGCTTACCACCACCAACATCTCAGAGAAAATTAAAACTAAGAACACGGTGAAGAGAACTAATTCAACTCAAAATGATACTTCAACTCAAAATGATTTCCCAATGGTTCTCGTCCACCCCACCAGGGCAAAACGCCACATGTCCTCAGCAAGTGCCCCAGCCTGACTCCTCATCTGGCACACAATCACCCTTTCCCAGACACAGCAAAACACTCACCATTTGCCTAAATCATTTGCACATGGCTTTGGACCCATGTGCAGAACTGAGTTTTCATCCTAATATATTTCATCTTACATTCAATAACTGCCTTCTGTCTTTGGGGGTGTTTGGAGTACATAACAGTAGCCTCTTCTCTGAGGACAAACAACCTATAGACCAGATACCCTGCCAAGGGTAGTTATATCCAGAGGGGCTGCAACCCTGACTACACCCCAGTAAGGAGATGCTGGAGCAGCCACACCTGGATCTACAACAGAAGACAGTCACCACCCTGGGCTTCCCCATGGACATTTGTCTATCCCAGCTCCTGTTGGTTGCGGCTGCCAGTCTGCTGTGGGCAGAAAATGCAGGTCATCATGGTTAGGATTCTATGCAAAGGGCGCATTATCACTAACAAGCCCTGAAAGAATGTTCAGGGAGCCTAGCACTCATAGCCCTGGGCTGTGGGGTGTGGTCTCTGCACGGGGTGGGAGGCATAGCTGCAGGGGGCCAGGAACAGGGGAGAGGCTAGGAGAGTGTAGGTAGGGGGTGACTTCCAGGCATAGCCAACAGCCTCTAAGCATGTGCAGCAGCTGGGGGCAAGGGGGGGTCAATGTCAGGCCCTGTGCCGAGCTCTGCCACTGTGCATCACCCCATTTCTTCCCTCTGGGTCTGGATTCTTCCATTTGGAGGACACCATGAACCCCCCTTTGCCCCAGCCACGAGTCAGCCATGAGTTCATCAGGGAGGCTTTCGGGGGACCCCAAACTTCTCTGGTAAAATAGTGTAACAGGAAGAGCTGAGGGCAAAGGCGTGCAGATCAGAGAGACAGACAGGCTCACGGCTGGCAGAGGGAGGGAGAGAAGGCACCGGTGCTGTGCTGTGCTGCAATTTGAGCCAGGCTTCATGGAGGATGAGCCTTTTGAGAGGAGCCCTGAAAGTCAGGTAGAATTTTGACGGGACAGCCAGCATCCTAAGCAGAAATGCATTAGCAAAGTATAGAGATCGGAAGAACCAGGGTTGTTTGGGGTCCAATCAACAGTCCAACTAGGCAGAAGTCCCAGGAGCATGTGTGAAAACACCAGATGAAGAATCTAGATGAAGACTGAGGCCCACCTGTGGGACACCAGGCTGAGGAATTGGGACTTAGTGCTATCAGCAGTAGAGAGCCACAGGAGGCTTTGGAGCAAGGGTGTACTGATGAACAAAGCAACTGCTATACTTGGAGTCAGCATGCCTGCTCTCCAAGGGCCCCCACCTATGCAGGTGACAGACAGAGTTCCAGAAGCTGCCCAGTTAAAACCCCACACCTGTCACATACACGTGGAAAAACTTCTTGTATGTTCTCAGGACTCTGCCTATGAATGAGAGGTGTATGCTGACTGTTTCCTTATCTCTCGAGCTCCAGGTTTGGGTCAGACCAAAGGCAGAGCCCACATTGGCCTTGCCCTGGTGCCCCTGAACTCCCATAGCCCAAGTCTGACCCTTTGCTTGACAGCTTCTCAAGAAACAGGGCCAGAAGATCCCTGCGGAAGGGCAGCCCCTGGAGAGGCTGTAGGATTCCTTTCCTTGCCTGGACCCACAGTCCAGGGCTGCTCCCGCTAAATGTGAGCAGCCACTTGACAGGTGGAAGCAGCCCAAGTGTTGAGGCCCAACTGCTTACTGCTCGGCCACTCTCTAGCCACGTGACCCCAGACATGCCCCCCACCCCCCGAGCCTCTCATTTCCTCATCAAGAACACAGAGGACAACAGCTTAGCATCTACTGGGTAAATGGACTCATGCAGGTAAAACACACAGTATACCTTGATGCATAGAGAGAGCTGTTAGCTCCAGACCTGGTCCACATTTGGGGCAACAAAAGGGTCTCATAGCCAGTCAATTCGATGAGTACAAAGTCCTCTTCCTCACTGTCTCCCATTTCTCCATTAGCCTTGGAGTACTCAAGGTGAAAACCACAAGGGAACCTCTGTTTCCAACAGGAACTGAAAGAACCACAACACATCTGGGCCACAATGCCTCTTGGTGACATGATCTGAGACTGGTTTCACAAACCTCCTTAAAATATAATGACAGCTATGGGTCCCTTTCCCCATGTGTGTGTACAATCCTGTGGCCCCCAGAGTTTCCTGAAATGTTCCAGGAAAACAGATTCCTACTAACATTCAGCAAGCAGATATTCTGTGCCAGGTACCATGCCAGGAGCTACGAATTTAACAGTGAGCAAAACTGTTGGCACTGATGGTGGCTCTCTTGGGATCTTACCTATAGAAAGGTCAGTTAGTTAAGCTAGTTAAGTACTAGAGAGAAAACAAAGGGAAGAGGAGGGGAGTGCCAGAGATGGCTACGGGGCTTTGAACTGTTGCATAGGTTGGCCAGGTGACTTCTGCCCAGGTTGGTCAAGATGAAAGGAAAGGAGGGAGCGGACCCAGTGGCTATCTGGGAAGGTGCATTCCAACACAGAGACGAGTCAGTGCAAAGGCCCTTAGGACAGATGTGCCTTGTGTGTTGAGGAAGAGTCAGGAGGTCTGGAGCAGAGCAAGTGAGGGCAAGAAGGAAGATGGTGTCATCCAGGTTGGGAGAAGTGGGGAGCCACTGCAGAAGACCTTCCTGGGGCAGGGGAGAGGAGGACGAGGGAGGTAGGAAATGGCAATCTTTCAGGTGGCTACTGCAATAATCCAGCGGGAGATGCTAGTGGCCAGGCACAGAGGGTAGCAGTGGCAGAAGGGCTAGGAGCATGGGACCATTTTGAATATGGAGACAAGAGAACTGTCTGCCTCTCTGGATGTGGGGTGTGAGTGAAAGAAAAGAATCCAGGAAAACTGTAGGGAATTTTCAGGACGCAGCTGCGGTGAACTAAGGCGACAGGCTATGGTAGGAGTGTGTTTCAGGGAAGGTCAGGAGCTCGGCTCAGGCCACGTGGAGCTGGAGATGTCTAACGGCCATTCAGGCCGTTGTGCCAAGCGGGCCGTGGATCCTCTGGCACGGGTGCGCCTGGGATCTCCCTGACTCCCAGGCCTCGAAGGGAAGCGAGGACCACCTGGTCCACTGAGGAAGTGGAGAAGTGACATAAGAGTGGAGGGAAGGCTCCTGGGAACGGATCCCCGTTTTCCACCCCCAGGATCAGTGCACTTGGAGTTGGGCGGGAAGCAAATTTTAAAACCACTCGCAATGCTCGGTAATAGACAACAGTTACGCCTGCTTCCGTTTTGTTTAATCCAATTTCCTTCAAGACGCAAACCTGCTCTCGCTTTACGGGGACGCGGTGGGTCTAGGATGACCCCAGTTCCCACATGACCCCGACCCATCAGGGCCCCGGGTCTCCAACTGCGGCCTAGTGGGGACCGAAGGTAAGGAACTGCGATCCGTTTCGATCACCAGAGCGCGATACGTTCTCCTGGCCGCTGGCCCTCTCCAGGGCAGCCCCAGCGGGGCCCGGCCAAGGTGGATTCCTTCCCAACAGCCTGGCAGGGCCACGCACCCTCGCCGCCCCCATTGGGCCGCGCTCGCCCCAGGACCGGGATGGAGGAGCAGGAGTCCGACACCTGTGCCCGCGGCGGGGCGCGGGCGTGGCTCCTCCGTCGGGAAACTTCGGGAAACGCTCCGAGGTAGAGCTCTGCTCGGGCGCACCTACGCAGCCCACGACAGGAGTTCGTTAGCTTCTGGGAGGGGGCTCGGCGCTTCCCTCGGGCCGAGGGCGTGGGCGTGGAGGGAAGGAGGGGCCGAAAGGGCGGCGGGCCCTCCCCTTTATTCCCAGCCCGCAACTCGGCCGAGTCGTGACCAGATGTGCTTCTAACAGGTCACTCCTCTGAGGTGCAGGCGGGAGCCCTCAGGCCACTCGGGGGCTGCACTCGGCGTTGCTGCTGTCGGACCAGACGCGGCGTCCGCGGGCTGGGCTCGGCCCCCGCCGCCGCTCGGGAAGTTCAGGTTAGGAAACGCAACCCAGATGGGGACCCCGGATGGGGCGCGCGGGCCAGCCCCCGGGGGAGACGGGGAGGGCAGCCACGGGCCTTGGTGCCCAGGGGGGTGGGGGTGGGGGTGGGGAGGGTAGGGGGTGGGTAGAGGGCGGACGGCACGCTCCGGCTCGCCGCCGGGCAGTTCACGAGGAAGCCGTGTTGCTGCAGAAGCCGCAGGTGTCTGCCCCGGGATAACCCCGCGCGGCACGAGGCCAGACCAGCCCAGCTCCCGCGGGGGCTCCGCCGGCCCGGGGCCAGAGAGGCGGGAGACTGGCTGGCGCGCCTGGGCTCCTCGCCGAGCACGCCGGCGAGAGGCCGAGACAGGGTCCGCACGCGGGTGGGAGCTGGGGCGGCGGGGTCCCCGGGGGGAGGGGCGCCTCTAGGTCACGAGCGGGGGCGGGTGCAGTTCGGTAGTCCCGCCACCTGAGAGCCCGGGTCTCCACAGCTGTCACCGCGGGACACCTTGGAGCCGGCGGGCCGACGCGGCGGCCGTGAGACCTGCGCTCCTCGCCCGGCAGCGGCCCACGGAAGGTGAGCGCCCTCCCGGGGCGAGGGAGAGGAGGCCGGGGCCGCGGCTGGGGGTCGGTCTCTGAGGGGGAGGGAAAGGGGGACAGGCGTGGAACTGGCTACCTGAAGCTGTTACTCTGTCCCGGGTGACAATAGGGGGTCCTCCGGGGAGCTGCCAGCTCTTATTCTGTCTACCCCCGCCCCCCACTGTGTATCCCCCCGCGCCCACTGTCTCTCCTCCACGTCCCCACTGTTTCTCGTTCCCCCACCCCCAACTGTGTCTCTCTTACCTCCGCCCCCCACTGTGTTTCTCCCACCCCTTGCCCCCCACTGTCTCCCCCCCCGCGCCCCACTGTCTCTCTCCACCTCCACCCCGCACTGTGTCTCTAGCCCCCCCCTTGCCCTCCACTGTGTCTCTTACCCCCCACCCCCCACTGTCTCTGCGTCCACCCCCCACTGTGTCTTTCTTTTCCCCCGCCCCCCTCCCCGTGTCTCTCTCGCCCCTCCGCCCCTCACTGTATCTTTTTTCCCCCGCCGCCCCCCTCTCCACCAGTGCCTCTCTGAGATTCGATCTCGTGCTTTCTCTGGCCTCCCGCGGTTTCGGTTGGTCTGGCACGCGCTCCCCGCCCTGTCGCTGGTGAGTGCTGGTTCTCCCGCTCTCCCAGCTCGCTCTGCGTCCCACCAGGGCGCACACGGACGGCTCGCTCGGCCCAGAAGCGGGAAGTCTACCTGCCGCGTGCGCGGGGCCCCGCTTGCTGCCCTCTGGCCAGCTCCATCCGCTTGTGCTCGGGGACGTTCGGTCACCCCGCTGTCGCCTCTGGCCAGCGGCGCACCGTCTAGGCAGGCCACCTGCCGCCTAGGGCACTGACTGTCTCCCGCAGCGTGCGGAGCCACCGAGGTGAGTGTCCCCGTGCCCCTTCCTTGCCTCCCGTTGCTGCCTGGCCGCCCAGGCTGGAGTTGACTGGAGAAGCGAGGCGACCACAGGGAGGCCAACATGCGGCCGCTTTCCTTTTCAAAGAGTGGCCGGACGGCCCGGTAGGCCCCTCTGGCGGTCGCCGCGCTTCCGCTGCCCCCGGCCCCGTGCGGGCCCGAAACTCAGCGTTTCGGGACTCCGGGTCCAGCGGGGTCGCGGGCGGGGCAGCGCGGCTTCCCCTTTAAGGCCGGAGCCGCTCGTCGCCTTGAGTGTGAGGGTGTGTGAGTGTGCGGCGTGCGTGTCTCCTCCTCCCCGAGTGACACAGCAGTGAGAAATGCCTATCAGTAACTTAAACCCCCGAAACTCCACCTTCCGGGCGCGCGGCGCGGAGCCGGGCGGTGGGAATGGAGCGAGCACACTGAGGCTGCCGCTGCAGCGCCGCCGGCATGAACTTGGCCGCGAGCTGAAGCGGCCGGCGGCGGGCGGGCTCGGGGGGCACCGGCCGCTAGCTGGGGGAGATCTGCGACCCAGCCGGGCCGCTCGGCGGGCGCCGGAGGCCAGGCTGCCCGCGCCGGCGGCTGCCTGCCCCTTGGGCACTGCCCCCGCCGCCGCCGCCGCCGCCGCCGCGGGAGCTCCGCAGCACGGTAAGGCTGAGGGCGGGCGCGGGAGGTCCGAATGCTCTGGGGGCGCTGAGCTGCACTTGTGGCCCCCACTTGTGACCTGCGTCGCGGAGGAGCGCAGGCCCCGGGTTACTGAGGGCCGGGGGACCCCGAAGTTTGCTCCGAGCACACGGCCCACCTGGCGCTGCGCGTGGTCGCCCCCTTCTCTAACTGGTCGGGCCGAGCGGAGCGCAGCTCGCATCGCCCGGGACCATGGCCTGTGCCTGCACCCCGGCACCCGCCGGGTGTCTGGAATCGGGCAGGGGCAGTCAAACACTGGGGAGGGAAGGCAGAGGGGCGCGGGCCACGAGGGCTTCCCCGGCCGCGCTGGGCCACCAGGAGGCTCCCGCTTGGTCCTGGCGCACCCGGAGCCGCTCGCTGCCCGAATGCCACTGGCGACGCTGCCTTCGCATCCCGGCTCCCAGAGCCTGGGCCAGTCGGCAATGGGTGCTGGGCGCAGGATTCACCCCCCACCCCCACCCCCACCCGTAGCCAGTTTGCCGCCACCAAACGGGAGTGTGGAGTGCGCGCGCTGAGCCCGCCGCCTCTCGCTCCCTTCTCTGCTCTGGAGAGCAGCCCCGAGCAGAGCTGGCGGCCGGAGGCAGCCCCGACTGGGCTCCTGCCCGGAGCTCCCGGCGCCCCAGCGACCCGAGCTCCCAGGCCTCGGAGCAGCGGCACAACCCAGCGCCAGCAAGGGCGGGCGGGAAGCCCCCCGGAGCGCCGCCAAATACTTTTCATGGCCAGTTGGCTCGGCCAGGCTCCGTCCCGAGGCAGCGTGTCGGAAGCCTCTTGGAAAGCTGGCCGTACGTCTGATTTTGATCCGTGATTAAATGAGGACTGAGCAGACACTAATAGGATTAGATTGCAGAAAACTGCCCTGAAGTCGTCGGAACTTGAGCAAACAGATGCACTTCGGGCCGGGGTTTTGCTCCGTCGTGCCCCTACAGCCGGGTGCGGCCGTTTGGGGCACCCCAAATGGTGGGTGTGTACGCGGGCGGGAGCACAGGATGGCTCAGGGACGTGGAGAGAAGCGACTTCACTTGCTGGGGTGGCATGTCGTTATTCGGCAGCAGAAGGAATTCCCCCCAGGGCGCCGTCCCCACGGCGAACGTACCATTTGCAGGTAGCCGACCAAGGCCAGCTCCGGGACTTTGTGAGGGCGAGCGAACCGGGTGTACGAGAGGCTGCCTCGCTGGAACAAAGACGCAAACTCTCCCCAAGCCTGAGCAATTTCGAAAGAGTTAGCTGGGAAGAGGAGAGGGCCTGGGTCTCCCAGGGGAGAACCCGCGGGGATCGCGCCGCCCAGCCCGGGTCCCGCGGCCGGGGCGATCCGGTTCCCAGGCTTCGGCGAGCCTGCAAGCAGCATCTCAACGGGGCAGCCCAGCCTTCCGCGGGCGCGGGCCCCCACCCGAGTGATCACGGACCGGGGGGTCGGCCGCGCTCCCGCCGGGGCTTCCTGGCAGCCACGGCCGCTTGGGGCTCCCGGAGGCCGTTCAGCTTCATCCCTCACCCCGCCTCTTCTTGTCTTTACAGATTCCCCCCCCTTCCCTTCCATCCCCGTCGCCGCCAATTCGCTTTATAAAAAGCCCCTTTGTTTCCCTGGAGGCTCGAGAGAGGGAAGGGGAAAGGGACGCGGAGGCAAGGGGCGGGGGAGGCTGCCTCCCAGTGGCTTCGAGCTGCTTGGGACAGGAGGGCAAGTGTAGGCGGTGGGGGAGGGCGCTGGGTCTCGAAGCCACTCGGCAGGAATCTCGGGAGGTGTGGGGAGCCCCCGGCTCCTGGCGCCGGCAGTGCGCCGGGCAGTCCGGCCGCGGACACCCGGGGCCCCCCGCTGCCCGGACGGCTGGGCGGGCGGCTAGGCTAGCGGGCTGGCGCGGGGGCCCGAGGCGGCGCACGCTCCGCGGGGTGGGCGGACACCTCTCGCCGCTCGCCGCTGCACTCGTCGGTCCCGGGCATAGGGGGCGCCCTTGCCTCGGTTTCGCTTTGCAGCCCGCGCCCCTCGCAGTTAGGACTCAGGGTGTCTATCGCACCTGCTGACGGCTGAGACGAGGGCGGCGATTCTGAGGCATTCGCCACCCCGCGACTGCACCCCTCCCTCCTCCCGCGACCTCCAGCCGCCCGCAACCCCCTACACAGGGGTTCGAACGCTTCGCGGGGCCCCTTTGCATGGAGGGAGGTAGTCGGGACTGCCACCTCCCCTCCGAGGTTCGTCAGTGGGGACGAGGGCGCACTTCTCAACTGTGACGAGCCGGCCGCCTGAGTAGGGATCCAAGGCCGGGCACTTGGGGGTGTTAAGAACCCACGGGTTCTTGGCATTAGTTGGAGTGAGGATTCAATCGGCCCCTATCCCTGACACCTGCCCTGCTCCGCCCCCACCTCCCAAACTTGCGGGAAGTCGGTTTTGCGCTTAGGGATGTTAAACAGACTGTCTTCGGTAACCTTTAGCCAGCCTGTCGGCCTGACTGGCCCCGCCCCCGCCCCCATGACTGCTCCGCTCGTCTCCTTGTGAAGTTTGTTCAGAAAGGGAATACTGGCCATAATAAAAACTGACAAATCAGGAGAAGCAGGCGGGGCCCGAACTCAACTGGTGGGTCTCCTGAGCAGATTACTCCAGATCTCTTTTGCCCGCCTCCACCCCATCTTCTCGTTTAATCTCCTGGCCACGTAGTATGCGTGCCTTTTCACGTGTCCTTCAACTACTGCACTCTCCTCCGGTCTCTGGAGGGTATTCGTAACTGTTGATCCGACATTTGTTCTCTGGTCTTTGGAATAGAAGGAGAAGCATTAACTATCCCCACCCTCGAAACATACACATCCCCATTGCATCTAAAAACCACAGGAAAGTACTCAAAGGGTAAACACGGGGTCTACCTTCTCCTCCCCATTTGTGCTTCCCTTCTGGAACAAGATCATTGGAAAATAAAGCTGCTGATGTGCGAGATGGAACATATGGTGCCTCCATAAGAGAGAAGTTGAAATGGCCTTGAACCTGCCGGACAGACCAGCTGTTTGCTGCCAGCCCAAGCAGCTAATCAGCGACTTCCCCTTAAAGTAACAGCCCTCTTTTCTCTTTGTGACCAATGTGCATATTTAACAAGATGTTCTCCAGAGGAGAAGCGTCCTGGGCGCGCCTACATTGGTTTGTGCTTTCGTTAGTTCTGCAAAGATCGTCCCTGGTCCTGAGGGCCTTTGGCCTCTTCCCACACGTGCCTCCACTGCTTGAGTGTGTTACTTACCTTCAGCACTGGTGTATGAGTGTTGCTCAAAGTGGAACTTGGGAAGGAGGCAGGAGAAGGGAAAGAGCCAAGCTGAGAGATTCCAAGATGCCCAGAAGGAAATCTCTGTTTTGTTGGTACTGGCTTTAGAAAAACTAGCAATTCTCTCCCCACCTCTTAAAAATATCACAAAGAGCTGCAGCTTTTCCTTGTAAGATCTCCTTAGAAAGCATAGTCTTCTGCCTGGGACCATTTTCAGTTTTCCTTCAGTACAATGTGTTTGGGAAAGGGCGGGGGGAAGAAAACAGTTTGGCATTGGAAAAAGAAAGACTTGAGGAGATACGAGGAAATTCCATGTTAGGAAATCATTAGCAAAGGGTGACTTCGTCTGTTTTCCTGCCACTGACGCTGACAGTGACACAGATGTGTGGGTTGAAAAGGAACGTCATTGAATTTTTAAACTCAACTAGGAAATAGCCTGTTGCTGGGGTGGGGGCGGTGGCCATACACTCACGGCATCTTAAGGTAAGAGATTTACCGTGGTTGATTCTTTGCACTAAGGAAAGGGATTTTCTCAAGGTTGGCCAGCACATTTAATATCATTTTTTTTCCTTTTAAGCAGATCACCTAACGGCTTAAAATATGCCTGTTAATAGATTGTCCCTAGGAAACTCAACTGCTGTTTAGGTTTTTGAAATGGGTAGAAAATGATCTTGGGCAAGTGGTTCTTCTGACAGCAGAACCACTCGCCTTCTTTAAAGGGGCTTCCTATCTGCCGTAAACTTTTTCTGAAAGTCTCATTTTTTTTTTCCTGCAGTGATGCATTTGAGAGATCATTAGCCTGGAAGCTGGGAAACTTGTGTTCTAGAGCAATTTTCCCGCTAACTGGCACAGTGATCTTGGGCAAGTCCATCCTCCCTCCTTGCCCCCCTCCCCCCACCATGACCTTGGAGTCCAAGTGCCTTCCAGCTCTAACATTCTATGATTTGTGAATGGGATAGTCATCTTCTGGGGAACTGAAATAGTATTGGGGTGGTGGCAGGGGCTAGATAGGTAAAGAAATGGAGCTGAGATTTTGAGGGGCAGCAAGAAGAGGGAGGAAGAAAAAAGCACAGAAGGTCAATCCAAACAACACAGAAGTGGAAAGTGTTCCCTCTCTGTGTCTTTCACCCATGTGAACTTCTAACCCAGAGCATAGATGCTGGAGGCTGGAAAGCAACCTGCAGGGCTTCCTGTCTGGTACCCCTAATCTGGTGGTCTGAGGACCTGCTGACGGCCAGCCACCTCATCACTGGGTTGGTTTCCAGATAACGGGACTCAAGCTCTTTGAAATTAGACTGGCATGTCTCCAAAGGACTCATCTAGTATAGAACAGATTTGGTGCTTTGCAGTTACTCAGTCAAGGTTTCAAGGACAAAAAGGCCTTCCTCCTCCACACATGTGCCCCACTGGAGCATGGGCTCTGAACTCACTGCTTCCTAGTCCAGCTGGATGTTTTTTAAAATCACATTTCCAACTTGGAGGACACAGCAGCCATGTAAGAATCTGCCACTGTCCTGCTTGATGTTAATATTGATTTTTTTCTTTCTTTTTTTTTTTTTAACCGATCACATTATGAGGGAGGACCTTTTGTCCTCTGAGCTCTCTGGCAATTATTTTGCTGCCATAAATGTTGATACACATATAATGGATGTAACTAAAAAATCTCCTTATCCAAGCAGAAAAGGCTGAGTGTTTGTTGGAGCAGATAGAATGCTGAGAGCGTGAATAGACCGACCCAGATGTGGTTGGGGAGGGAGATAAATGATCGGGGAACAGGAGTCACTTACTGTGGATCAGCACAATAAACCAGTTCCCATCATACACCTCTCAGAACGCCAGCCACTGGGGTAACCTAGGCAGCAGCAGTCAACTGTACGACAGGAAAGCAGCGTCACCAAGCTCAGTGGGAACAGTCTGATTTTGCAGACACTGAGTCCTGAACTGTCTTCAGGACTTTGAGGCGAGAAACTTCATTAATCTGTACGAACCTGACTGGGTTTTATGGCAGTGCTTATTACTTGTTTCTGTCATCACTGTGTCATAATTTCATCTGCAAGTGGAGCAGAGGAAGAACATCGGGCTCTGGGGAGCTCTCGGGCAGTTAGTGGGGAGGGGATCCCTGAGGAGATGAGGGGCTTGGCTTGTGTTACACTATTTACCTGCCAGGATTTCAGTGCATAGTCCCATGGGGTCCTGCTTGCAAGAGACCAGCCTGGCAGCTGCAGCACCAGGAGCATTTTCTTCAAGGGGAGGGGATAGGGGAAAAAAAAAACAGTTGGATTCCCTCCCTCTCCCACTCCATTGCTTTCTTCTTTCTCCCCATTCACAGAAGCTCCCCAATTTCATCTGACCTCTTCATAATTCACAAAGTGATCAGATTTGTCGCTGTGGGCTGAGGCAGAGTGGGGGGCTTTGCTGACTGTGGGCTCCCCAGAGTGAAGCCTTCCAGGGACAGGGCTTAAGTCCTGCCCAGCGTCCACGGGGCATCCCAACCACCTTCCCCTCCCAGGGTGCCCTGCTGCTTGCTCTGCCCAGTAAGTAACCTGTTAAGTGGGAAATGCTGCTTTCCTAAGACTGAGAATTGTTCTACAAGGCCCAGAGGAGGATGAGCTGAGCGTGAGCTTCCACCCTGTGCTTCTTCCTCTCGTCAGCCTGTGGGAGGATCTGGACTTGGTTTCTGCTGCTTCTAGAAGAGGCCCCTGAAGGCTGCAGGGCCTGAGCTGTTGAATGACATCTGCCTTGGAAGGACCCAGTGACCCCAGCTTGTGCCTTCTTCCATCTCTAGAGAGGAAGTGTGGGCCTTTTGGAACTAAAGGCCTGATGAAAGCTCTAAGTTATCCCGAATGCTTAAGACAATCTCAAGTCCTCTGTCCAGCTGTCCCTAGCCCTCTTCCCCATCCTTAACAGTGCTTTTCCACTTTGCCAGTGTTTGAACCTGAACCCCCCACGTCACACGAATGGCACAGGGGACAAGATCCAGCCTTGCCTTCCTTTTTGGTGACCCCAGTTCCTGCAGAGAATTGGCACTGGTGAACTAATGCACCTGCACACTCAGATGCTTACAGAATGTTCAAGCTGGAAGAGGAAAGTCCCATGGGTGCTAAGCAGTCGTTCCAAACTTGGTACTTACCTGAGAGTGGGAGACTGGACTTCTCTTTCCTTAGGGCTCGCCTCACTGTGCCGCCTCAGGGAAGTCTCTGGGCCCCACTTCCTCTTCTGTAAAGTCACAGGGCTTTTCTCTTCCAGCTGAAATCGGAGGTTGTAAGTGAAGGATCAGACAGGGCCGAGGCTGTGGTGCCTC